TACGTCGACGGCATGACATTTATTTCGGAAGACCAGATCTCTTTAACAGGTAAATTAACTCGAGAGTTTTAGAAATAAACACTCCCCTTCCCATTGTGCTACCTGTAGTTTAAGGGTACCGTCAAGCTGCTTCGTCAAAAAACACAAAATTTTACAATGGATCTAACAGTGCACAAACCCGTGGATCTAACAGTGCACAAACCCGTGGATCTAACAGTGCACAAACCCGTGGATTTAACAGTGTATTGAACTATGGTTTTCGGAACTCTGTCAAGACAGGATAAATGTTCTCAAAAGCTTGATAGATTTCCTCACGCAGCTTTGCACCGGTAAGCACTATTTTTCCAGAGACAAATATAAGAAGCACAATCTTTGGCTTGACCATTCGGTAGATAAGACCGGGAAACAGTTCTGGTTCATACTAAGGGATAAGTTATGAAAATAATTTAAAAAGTCCAAAAATTTCAAAGCAAGTATAGTATGCCTGTGACCAGACCACTTAACCATACACTTGAATAATGACCATGAGAAAAAGCGAGCCCCTCCAAGCGAATGGGGAACTTGATGTCGCATGAGCCAACGATGTTCTGGATTTTGAAGTCGGTAAACTTGGCAGGAAAGCCAAGCTTCTGAATGATGCGGGCATACTTCCGCGCAGCCAGACGCGAAAAGTCTTCGCTCTTGGCACCTGTTATAACCATTTTACCCGACGCGAAAATGAGGGCTGTTGTTTTTGGTTCTCTAATTCGCATAATAACTGCCGCAAAACGCTAGCTGGTTAGGGTCAAAAATCGCACCTTCGGATTATACTCGGCATTCCTAGCATGCAGGGCAATAGTCTTCAAGTCTAAACGGCACTCTAAATTAACGGTAGCAACAATATTCTGAATGACGGGAATAATCCCGGAGGGATGGAGATTTAGATCGATAGATGCATCCGTATGCATTGGATGCAATCCAGGAAACATCAAGGATGGGATATCCACGGTCCCCAAATGATTTGATGAATGTCTGCCCTGGACCAAGGGCTCTGACGTTGTGGACTCCATCATAACCTAGGAACAAAGCAGAGCAGAAAAAAATTCGGTCTTAAAATTTAATGACTTGACAAGTTGTAATTTCACTGGTTTGCAGGGTTTTTATTGATGTTTCTATCTCCTTGCATCGGGAGCGCACGCCGAGCTCTCTCTACCTCGCTTAAGACGTTTGAGAATATCGAGCAAGTAGCGATCAAAAAAGCCTCTTTATTTACGCCCAACAAAAGGGTTGATGTGTGCACTACTGCACATGCAGCAATTGCTGCACTTCCAATGCCAATTGCAGCTACCGGCTCTAAAATGGCATCACTAACCCTAACCCTTCCGTTTGGCTCAAGATCCCAAAATACAAACTTTCAAGGATATGCCCATCTGCTTCAAGCAATGGCCTTCAAGGTATGCAGATGCACTAATGCTGTGTAGTCGTCAAAAAACATCTCCCAAATGGTGCTGTTGCGCCTGGCCGAGTCCCGTGGTTGCCATTTAGA